GTTTTCCAAGTGATATTTGTAACTTTTTTTTTTGGCCCTAATTCTTAAAACCCAATGTTTTCAGGGTAAGGAAATAAGCTGCATTCTGAGGCTGACTCTTAAATTGTTCGAAAATATTAGGCTGCATTTCTAGGGCCTTAAAATTGGGTGACAGAACAAAATGAAGCCTTGAGACTAAAGTTTAAATACTCTGAGAAAGCTTTTTTCTAATTACTGTAGCTTAATACTAGAGGAGTAAAAAAAGGAAAAAGATCAATATATTTTACTTAGATGAGTTCTCCGAGAGCCTGGTACCACTGTGCTGACTGCAAAATGTAAGTTTGGTAAGAAATGACCAAAAATTAAACTGGTAATTTGAATTTCTCTGTGTTTTCTCATGTTCTGTGTGCAATTGCCACAGCACCTTAGAATGCTGATCACTTGTAGTAATTGTCTTTGTAATTAGGCTGAAATATCCACTTTGCTGTTTTCTACATGAAAGCACTGAAATACTGAGCAGATTTTAGCCAAATGAAGTTTTCCCTGAGTTTCTGATGATTTTCCATGTGCAGATATATGGAAATGTAAGGATCCTGTTCCTGGATCAGTCAAGTTTTTATGCCAAACACTGAAAATTTGGATTAATCCTGATGGATTAAACAATTAATATCCCTGGTGGTGACTGCCAGTGGAGCTGTGGCTGTTTGCACAGACACCACAATTCCTTTGGAATTCCACCAATTTGAAAATTACAGCCTTAAAAATTATAGTTACAGTGCTGCTGTCATTTCCTGCAGTCTTTTTGAACGTGAGCAGGGAATCAGCTGGAATTGTGACCTGCAAAGAGATAATCCAGGCTCAGACAGGCTGTCACTCACCTTTCCTCTGCAACAAAGTGAGCAGGTAGCACTGAGACTTCTCCTTAATGAAGTGGCTTTGGTGCCTTTTATCTGTGTGAAGGACAAAATTACCAGGATTCTTGCTTAATGATGGTGTCATTTTTTTTTTCCCTCCCCCAGTGTTTACAAAAAAAAAAAAAATAAAAATTATCCAGCAACATGAAAGAATCCCAGCAAAATGGTGTGCATGGTTAAATTAGAAAACTCTGTAGGGCTGTAACATTCAGGTCTGTATTTAAAATGACAGAAAAACATGAAGTTACATCAGTAATAAAAGTAAATTCTGAAAAATGCTGCAATGGCTGCTGTGAGATTTCAAATAGGGTTTTTTTTTTCCAGCTTTTTTGAATCCAGAAATCTGATTTTTTTTTTTTTTTCCCAAATCTGTACCAGGGGTTTTCTGACTGCAGTTTGAGGGGAGCTTTCCTTGTTTTCCAGGATATTCCCAACACATCCGTGAGCACATGCCTGACCTTGCTGTCCAGCAGAACCTGCAGATGGGGAGGCTCTGTGACATCCTGGGTATGTGATCAGCTCCTGCCCTCTGATTATTCCCCCAGCTGGCACTGAAAGAAAACAGCACAAGGACTTTAGTTTGGTGTTAATATTAAATACAGAGCACGGAGAAGCTGAGAAGGAACTGTGGCATTTCCTGGCCCTGTTATCCATAAAAAATCCTGCTGCTTCCTTGCCCCTCTGTGAGGTGCAGCAGCTCCTCCTGTGAGCTGCTGAGCACCACAGGGTGTTCAGTGCTCTCCAAAACCAGGGACTCACTCAGGCTCACACAGAGAGAAAGATGTGCTGCAAAAGAGCAAGCCCTTATTTAAACCCTTTTTTCCCCCCGCTTTTAAATCAGCAAACGAGGCAAAAGGCATCTATTTAAAAGTTGGTTTTTTTTTTCCTGACTGGCTTCTTTTAAGCAAAGCTGGGAATGATATTAGTTAGCAGTGACCAACTGCATTGGTTCCCTGGAATGACATGTTTTACATGATTCATGTATATTTCAGGATCATGATTATTTTATAAATGCCATTTAGTAAGTTTGGAACAAAAATATATTAGAGCCAGAAATTTACAGTTGTCTAAAATAATAATGTAATTGCCTTTATATATTATCTCGGCACTAATATTGGTTTTTTTCCACTGTACTGTTTTATTTTTTTCTTTTTTGAAGGTGGATTTTTTTGGCTGTTAAATGATAGAAACTTAAAGGGACAAAGTCACGCATTAAACAGATTTTTTTTTTCTCATTTCTGAACATGAAAATTTGTTCTGCTGTAAAATAGACCATGAGGAAGATACATACTAGTGAAATATTAAATAAATTATGGACTGGATCATGTGCTTTACCTGTGCCTGGCAGAGGAGCACTGAGATTTCCCATTTTGGTTTGGTTTTTCTTTGGAGAAGCAGAGGATTTCCTCACTGTTGGTGACCTCCTGTGGGTTAAGCTGTCCCTGGAGCCCCACTGTGTCCTGAGGAGACTTCATCTCTCTTTACAGGGCAGTGCTGCAGCAGTAAAATGTGCTGCACTTTTTATTCCCCAAATTCGCTTGAGTTGAATGTTTTTCACTTGAGTATTGACTGGTGAATGGTGCTGAACTCTTCCATTAGTTATTTTTTTAAAAGTTGTCTAATAATTATCTGAAGACTCTCCTTGTGGGCTCTGTGCTACTTTAATGCCTCAGTTGAGTTCTGGCCTCGCTTTTGAAATGTGGATTATTTCCCTGCAGCTCTGGCAAAACAAAGTCAAGCAATGGGATCTCTTATTCACTTTCCAGCATTTGGCTCAGGGTTTCCTTGTCCAGTCCTTGCTTTGCTGCAGTCCTTCCATGGAATTGCAGTTATCCCTGGCACTTGTGCACAATAAAACAATGCAAGGCTTCCCACTGACTGGGATCTAAATCTTGGAGTGCTCTTTGCCTATTGATGCCTCAAGGCCTATTAATTAATTACCTTATCTATTACCATTAATATTTTAAAATACTAACTTTCAACATTTTTTTTTAATTTGAAATTTTAAATAATTTAAAAATTAATACAATTTCCCCAAACTGCCTGTATTACAGATTTCCCTTCTGTGTGGACACAGCCCTTCAGCCCAAGCTGTTTTCCATGAGGAAAAGCAGATTTGCACACCGTGCTGCCCTGCACACTGCCATGCCCAGCAATGGTTATTAATGATACCCCACCCTGAGCTTTTGTGTGGGCAGCACAGGAGTAGGAACAGCCCATGGAAAATCCAGGCAGCGTAGAAAATTGCAATTTCCTCAGCTTTCTCAACTGAATGGCTCAGTTTTATAATTTACTGGCATTAATGGGATATATTTTTCAAGCAGTTCAATTCCCATTGATGTTAATGGGAGTGGGGCTCACAAATCCCCCTGCACCACTTCCCAAATCCTGCCCCAATATGTTCTGCAGATTGAATCCCAGGAAGCAGCTCTTCCTTTGGGTCACTGCCCTGTCTTCAGAGACACGCTGAAGCACGGCAGAAAGCCCTAAGATTTGGGGATTAAACCCAATTTTTGTTTATTTGCAGTGCATTTTGAGGAGAGCTGTTGGTGAGCAGAGGGTTGGGAATGCTGGCATTGCTGTTGGGAGTGTTGCACCTTTCTCCCAGCAGTGAGCACTGTGCCCTTTTGTTTCAGATGCCAACGTGGACGTCATCTACATCTGCCCCCTTGCTCTGAGTGAGGAGTTACTGCAGTATTACAATAAACTCCTGGGTCTGCAGGCAGCTGTTAGATCTGGGAACCCCGAGGACATGGCTGACCTGCAGGACAGGTTCAAAATTCTCACCCCTGAAGCTATAAACAGCTTCCCTGTGAGTTTGTCTTCTAATTACTACAGCTTGAGGGATGCAGTAAAATTAAATTGGAAATTTTATAACTTGCAACGCTCTGGTACACATCAGTGAAATATTATTGCAAGTTTAAGGGCTTTACTGATTAGACTACTAGTTAGAGCATTGGAAATAAATATCCTGGTTTAGCTTTATAGACTTGCTTGAGATAGTCCTAGATTGGCTATTTGTAGGCTCTTGTCCCTTCTGACTCTGTGCTTGGGACTGGGAACTTGATAGATTTATATCTCTAAGCAAATCATAGCAATAAACCATTCTTATTACTCAAACTTTATCTCTGGCTAGCCCAGCATTCAATCATTGCTGTGTTTGCAGTGGCCCTTGCAACTAAATCCAGTGCAGAGCTCCTTAAAGAACAAAGCTTAAACAAAGTTAGGTAATAATACAGAAATCTGAGTTTCAAACAGATCAGAATAATGCATAAATATGAGCTCTAATAATACAAAAGTGATAGTTCCAGAATAACAATTAATAATAGAGAAATGTTAGTTCCAAACCTGTCAAGTCAGGTTTAAATCCATGTGCTAAAACATGTTCTAATTAATGTACAGTGTGTACAGTGTTTCTGAAAATGCTGCAGTGCAGTGGAGACTTCAGAGTGAACAATAGTTTTCTGTTCTAGATATTAAACCCACAGTGTCTTGGCTGGGATTTGATTTTTATCAAACTTTGTGGCACATTTAGTGGCTTTACTTGAAGCCTTGCTGCTGGTTTTGCTATTTTTTTCTTTTTAAGTTGCACTTTGACAGTCATAGCAGGTTTTTTTCTGGATGCTGGGTTATTTTTTCCAATAGTGACTCCCAACTGAATTAATGCCAAAATCTGTCAGGAGAATGGGCAACACCAGATTTTATGTGAACCAGGTTGAGGTAACCCATGGCTCTTTAGTGCTATTCACCTGTTAATGTGCCAAATCTGCCTTGTTTTCATTTAATGTGTTCTTTACCGTATAATAATGAATATTTTTAATGAATACATGCTCTGTGTGGAGAGGAATCTGCTCAGAAGTGCTCCTGGTCATCCCTTGGCTTCAGTGCCAATTTGGGCTGTGGAAGGGTTTGAGCTTTGTAGGTTCTTTTAAAGGATCTTTCTCCTGGCTTATTGAATAAAAAGCCTTTATTGCACCTAATGGATTGAAATTTATTCCCAATCAATGCAAGTGTGGCTTGAAGGCCACTTCAGAGGGCTCCTTTTAGCAATTCCAGAGGCACAAATCATCCCTGCACGTTTTCCCAGCTGTTTTGGTGGAACTGGATGGAAGGAAAATGTGTGGAAAAGGCAGAGCTGGTCCTGATCCTGCCCTTGAGCTGTGTCCAGCTGGAGGCAGCTTTGCTCTCCTGGTGATCCTGATGCCAAGGGGAGATCTGGGATCTTGGGAAGCTGAAAACAAAACAAAAATCAACAGGTTTGAGAGCCAAGAACTTTCCCCATATCCCCTGTTCCTGCTGGAATCCTTCAGTTCTGCTTTTCCCCGCTCTCCCTCCCACTTCCATATATCCTGGCAGCTCTAGCACTCTCAAAAAGCAGGAATAAAGCAGCTTTTACAGCCTGACCTCCTTAATTAACTGTAAAATCCATTATTGAGGGACACAAAGCAAATCTCCTCCCTACAAGCCCACTGTGGCCCCAGGCTGGGAATGGATCCTGCTCCCTGCATGCAGAACTCTGGGATGGGCCAGCTCCCTGCTTGAGCAGTGCTCAGGTAAAGGGAATCCCTGGATCACAACTTCAAATGTCTTGGCTTTAAAAGTGATGCAAGGAAAAGGGCTCCAGGTAACTTGTTTGCTGTTCTTTTCATCCTGAAACTTCTGTAATTCTCTTTTTTCTGCTGGAACTTTGGGGAGTGTCCCATTCCTGCTGTCCTTGCAGGGTGTTCAGCTCCTTCACAGAGAGATCTGGGCATTTTTTGGAACTTTGTTTGGTGTGAGAAAGCACCAAGGGACTGACAGAATGGGATTCCTTGTGCTCTTTCCCAGCACCATCCTCTCTATCCAAGCAATGAAATCAGGATTTCTGCTTCGGTCCCTGGCAATGAACATCCAGGACTTGGGAGGAAAATATTCTGGGTTCTTCAGTGCTGGAAATCCCTGGCAAATCCAGGATTTACATTATCCTGAAAATATAGAGATACTTTTCTGAAGCCTAAATGAGATGAAATCTCAATAGGAAGATAATTTTCTCCTTGTTGGGATTATGATTTGTTCATGACAATTTACAATTTACTGCAGTGGATTTCTCTTGTGCAATTTCTCCATCCCTGTCTCATCCTCAGTATATTTTTGGGAAAATAATTGGAATATATGCAGGCCATGCATGGGATATGTTGTTTAAAACATTTTGGAGGTTTCGCCTGCCATGAGTGATATTCTTAATTTAAATTCAGAGTTTGCAGTGTATGTCATGAGCTGCTTGTTCAACTATAGATCTTTTTTTGGGAAGATATGAGAAATTCCTTCCAAAAAGTTGGAACCCTTGTGTTTTAAGCAAAAAAAAAAAAAACCTACTACAAAACTGCTTCCCTCTCCTTAAGTGGTCCTTTAGATCAGCAATCAGAGCTCCTGTGAAATGGAAATGTGCATCCCCAGTAATTTAATGTAAGCACTGAAAGCTTTTGTAAATCAAAGTGTTTTATTCTCAGAGAATCACTTCAAATACCCTGAACTGTATGTGAAATACATTCCCTGCTATAGGGAGGGGGGGATTCTTCATTTTTTTATTGATTTTTAGGAGCTCTGGAGTTAAAGCATGCCAGGAGTGTTGCTGAGATGAATCACTATTATCCAAAGGCCAGCAGCCTCTGTGCCTGACAGAAGGATAATTCCACACGGATCAAATAAATACAGATGTGTAGTAATTAGTTCTATTCCCAACGAGGCCATTTCCAACCCACTAAAGATGTGCACGATTATGGAGCCTCACCCCAACAGCTTTTATCAATTTAAACTGCTAAGCTACAGGATAGGTCATAACCCAGCCTGCTATTAATAATGTATTTATTGTGGGCAACATTAGGAATTAGGGGGAGGGAAAAAAAAAAAAAAAACCACAACAAAAAAACCACTTTTCATAAGAATAAATGTTCTCTTTTTGCAGGAGCATCACATGTGCCTGGCCACTGTGCTCAAGTACAGCCCCAGGACCCTGCAGAGGCTGCAGGTGCTGCTCCAGGGCAGGGATGCCTACGTGGTTGGGGGTGTTCCCCACCTGGATGATTTGGCTGTGGCTGACCAGCTCCAGGTGCCACTTTTGGGCTCAGAGCCAGCAGTGGCTCAGCTCTACAGCACCAAGTCTGGCAGCAAGAGAATCTTTGCCAGTGCTGGAGTGCCAACCCCTCCTGGAGAGTGGGACATCCACAGCAGGGAGCAGGTGAGGATTTGGGTCATTCCAATGAGACCCTCATCACTGAACAATGGTTTTGTATTGTAAATATTAAACCTACAGTGCCTTGGCTGGGATTTGATTTTTAGCAAACTTTGTGGCACATTTAGGAGCTTTGCTTGAAGCCCTGTTGCTGGTTTTGCTATTTTTTTTCTTTTTTAACTGAACTTTGACAATCATAGCAGGTTTTTGTTCTGGATGCTGGGTTATTTTTTTAATAGTAACTCCCAACTATTTTTCCAGTAGTAACTCCCAAACCCTCATGGGTTTGAGCAAGTCTTGGGTGAGGTTGGGTCCTTTTCTGTCTCAATTAAATGCAGTTTGTGCCCAGGGCAAGAAGGAACACAATTACTCTGGGGTTCTTCATGGGCTTGAGGATGTAAAAATGTTTGGTCCAATATTTGAGACAGTTTGTGCTGGTGCCCTCCTGGGTGAAGTCATGAAATGAATCCATTTTACCAGTGACTGAAGATGCACATTTTCCAAAAATGCTTCTTCTAAGGGGAAGAAATCTCCCCTCTAATCAGCCTGTTCCCACTGAGGTTCACTGAGCATCTTTGCAGTTTTACTTTGCAGCCTGTCATTGCTAAATTCATCTCTCTTGTTGGCATGACCAGTAGGAAAATAACAAAACCCTATTGAACTGAAATTATGAGGCACAAGAGGTTTCTGTACTTTCATTTTACATGTTTATTTTGCAGCCAGTTCCTCAGTATTTTATTCTCTAAACTGATTTTGCAATTTACAATGATATGTCTAAGTATTTATTTTTAAAGGCCATTTTTATGGTGGTGTTACTTCTCATCCAGGAAAATAATCATTGCTAAGGTTTTTTGTAGGTGCTTCTGCTTCTTCAAGAGGCTTTTCACATTGCTTTAGTTTTTATTAATCACCTTTAGCACTGAAGCAGTCTAAGCTACACAAATCCATTGCTACTTCTCCAGTAGATGAAATAAATATATGATCAATGACCTGCAAAACAGCTGTTTGATTTATTTGATTCATGTAAATTATTTAACAATACTTCTGGTTCATCCTACAGGGTTATGGAATTTCTCCTTCTGTTGTTTGCTTGTATGAAATATTGACATTTTAGGTTAAATAATCAAAGTGAGGTGACACCATGGTAAAGCACAATTCAATTTTCACTTAAAGATAGCACATAATTCTTTGTGATTGGTACAGTCCTTACAGGATTATTGATCCTTTTCATTACTGTAGGGGGAGCCCTCAAGAAAAACACATTTATGTGATTCTCAAAAGCCACAAATGGAACACGTGTAATTGTATTTTAGGTCAATCTTTAAAAAAAATAAACAAAATCCCTCAAATTACTCTGTGAAATGTAGAAGACTCCAGCCAATGCAACAAGATCTGAGAATACTTTTACCAGGTTCAAAGTCATTTGCAGTTTCTAAGAAGCTAATTGCATCCTGCACCAGCTGGGCAAAAGGCATTTGAAAGCCATTTAAATCTGTGTACATACACAAATAAATAATTAGCATTTTTATAAAGCCTGCCTGGTCCCTCCTCCATGCATTTATAACCACGGAATGCACTCTCCACTAGGAGAATTTCCCAGCTGTTTTGGCTGGTGCTACCCTGGCACATTTTTGCAGACAGCATCGTCCATCCCACGTTGTTCCCTGTCACAAACAGTTATGGAGCACTTCTGCCTCAGACAAAACCAAGAAACAACACCTGGGCAGGCAAATTCCTCTGTGCAGAAAACAGGGATTCTTCAAAGGCAGCTTTCAATCCATACCCAAGCAGCTGTAAGAACACAAACACCTCGGAGAAAATGAACCCAAATTGTTGGATTATGCCCTTTCCTGACCCAGAGATGGGGCAACTGAGAGGCTTTTTAAAACTTTTATTCCATTTTCAGGCAATACAGATATTATAATTCATGCCACTGCAATTAGAAGCCAACTATTTCCTAACTACAATACATTACAAGTGTTTCTTGGCCTATCAGCTTTAGCCACACCATGCTGTAAATGCCTTAAAGCCAATCATCTAAAATTAATGCACCTTTCATAGTTGTGTTTCTCTAAAATAATCTAGTTTTATTTGTAAGGCCATCCTTTAAACTTGTTTCTAGTTCCATTTCTCTCTCAGCAATGTCTGTCCTATTCCATGGCATTTCTAAGTCAGCATTTCTTAGCTCAAGGTTTGCATAAGGATGCACACTGTGTGTCTTCTGTCAGGCTTTGAGAATTTTCTACAGATCCGTTTCCCACATCTCCCCCTCTCTCTTGGACAGAAAAAACTTCTTGGATGGTTTTGTGCATCGATTGCCATGCACAGTGAAGGACACAGGGCATTGTCACTGACATTGTCGCTATAATAATCAATGTATAGAAACTTATTTTAATAAATAATTACAGTATAGACACTATTATATAATATATATATTATATAATATATAATATTTTATCTATAAAATATGTCATAATCAATGTATATAATCTTAATAATCAATGTTTATAAACTTAAACCTCCTTTAGCCAAGGTGCAAAACTCTATCTTTCAAATAAGCCATGTGAGCCTTCTGTCAGGCTTTGAGAATTCTCTACAAACCCATTTTCCCACACGTATTTAGGAAAACAAATGTTAAGCCCAAATATTTGGGAGCATTTTGGTGCTGTCCCCGTGTGAAGGGCTTTGTGTCCCTGCTCTGCAGCTGCTCCGTGCCCTCAGCCAGCTCGTCCTGGACAATTTGGAGGTGCAGCGCTGGCTCTTCAAGGTGGACGATGAGCGTGCAGGAGATGGCACTGCCTTCTGTGATGTCACTTCCCACCTGGAATGCTACTCCTGGATCCAGAGGGAACTGCAGGGACACGGCCCCGAGGTGTGGAGTGAGAGCCAGGCTCGTGTGAGTAACAAAACTGCACCTTCTGTGTTGTCTTGGCTCTTTCATGTCCCCTGAGGTCCCTCCTCGCTGTAAATCTCCTCCCTGAGCCTTCATTTGAAGGTAAATGTTGATATCACAGCCTAGCTTGGCTTCACAAAGCAGCAGTAATTCAAATAAAACAGGGAAATATTCCAAAATATTCCATTCTAAAATATGAAGGCATGCCTGGCAGCCAGCTGTGGAAGGACTTGTGTTGTAACACTGCCCATGCAATAATGGACAGGGGTTTATACATTTTTTTGTATACATTTTATACATTTTTTTAGTGAGGACATATAAAGGAAAGTTTATAGGCAGCATAGCATCATCTCCACAGAAAATTGGAATTCTTTCCATAGAAATTTGGAATTATTGAAACAAAGATTAATTGGGATAGGGATTAAAATAGCTGAACACCAGTAATTTGAAATCATACAAACTGATTGCTTTTTCAGCTAATTTTCTATGGATTATTTTTCCTGCATGTTTTGCCTCATTAATAACTTTTAAACCTGTATGAGACAACAGTTGTAGGTTTTGGTGATCATTAAACTCCTGCAAGTTTTATTACCAGGGGTGTTCAGGTAAGGAGAGCCATCTATAAAAATCTAAGTAAAGGAAACATTAGAGCATGAACTGAGGCACTCCTGGATTCCTGAGAATCCCCAGGATTGAGAGGCTGGAAGATGATACATTTTAACTGCAGAAAAATCCATATGAAACCACACTTCATTATTCTGGCATTCCAAGAACTATTTGTAGTTTAAATATTCATTGGTATTTAAATGTGTTAATTTCAATAAGCATTTGATATTTCTGTATATCTTGCCAAATTCATTCCTAATGTAATGGTTTTAAAGCCAGAAGGAATGTATCCAGAAAAATTGTTTAATTTACATAAACTACTCATTATAGCTGCTCTGATTTTTTTTAATTCAATCAAAACGGGTTTGAAATTTGGGGTTGATTGAATTATATTGTATATTAAAGTTTCAAATCGGGCTGATTACGGTTCTGCTGCGTTTGACAGATACAAAACAATTCCACATTATAAAACAGAGTTCCTGATAGAAAGCTGAAGGGGTAATTCCTCTGATCTGCAACTCAGGCAGGATGAAGCAGAGCCCTGAAAATCCAGCCCAGTGGGACACAAAGCTCAGGATGTATCCAGGGCCTGCTCCCAGCACCTGAGTCAGGACACAACCAGGAGCCAGCAGCTCCAGCTCTGCCCCTGATATCAGTGACATTCCCTGTTTCTGTGCCTTTTTCATTCTTTGCCTAAGTGCTTCTGTACAAAGGCTGCAGTGAGCCCTGACTTCCTTTGGTTTTCCTTTTTACCCCATTTACCTCGAGCTTGGATACAGCCAGTGAGAATCCCTTAAATGCAAACACATGTTGGAAGTTGGGAAATAAACATGGAATAATGAATTTGATCTCATTTCCCAGAGTCAGCAGACAATTCCAGGCCAGTGCTGACGTGGGCTTTGCCAAAGTGTTGTTCAGAGAAGCTCTGGGTTCCTGATCCCTGGAAGTGTCCCAGGCCAGGCTGGACAGGGCTTGGAGCAGCCTGGGGTGGTGGAAGGTGATGGAATGGGATTCATGCCTTGGGAAGGCTGAGCAGGTACAGAGGCTGGGCAGAGTTACAGAGCAAAGCAGGGATGTATTACAAGGATCTCCTCCATGGATCCACCTTGGGCAGCACAAGATGAACCCAAATGGTCCCAAAATGCACGATGGTCACGGGGTCTGTCACTGGGATCAGTTCTGCTCCATGTGCACATTGCAGTTCATTGCCCAGTTCCAGCTGCAGCCCCTGCAGTCCCATCCTTGTTTTCCTCTCTTCATTCCACGCTGTTTGTGCTCTTGGGCTGAGATTTGGATCATTTGTCCTTGGTGCCCAGCTGGAGCAGGAATTGTTTTGTCTCCCTGCTCTGTGCAGAGCCCACCATCCCCAATGTGAAGCCCAGACCCACCCACTAAAGCAGCCCAGAACCTGAAAAATACAGAAGGTAAAACCTGAGGCATGGCAGTCCCATCCTTGTTTTCCTCTCTTCATTCCACGCTGTTTGTGCTCTTGGGCTGAGATTTGGATCATTTGTCCTTGGTGCCCAGCTGGAGCAGGAATTGTTTTGTGTCCCTGCTCTGTGCAGAGCTCACCATCCCCAATGTGAAGCCCAGACCCACACACTAAAGCAGCACAGAACCTGAAAAATACAGAAGCTAAAACCTGAGGCGTCAGGATGATCCTGAAAATCCCTCCCAGTGCAAACCTTCCTGTGATTCCAAAGTGTGGGACTTGCTGCTGTTTTGAGCACCTTGAACATTTGCTCCAATTTCCCTGCCTTCCACGTTTACCCTCTTTTGAAATAAGGACTCACAGCCTCCCCGAGCCTCAGCATGGAGAGCAGGGGATTAAAACACTCCTTTGTCAGGGAACACCATTGTAATGATCCACATTTAAACATCAAAGCAGGAGTTTGTGCTTTCATGTCCTGGTGCAGTGTGGGGACCTGGTTCCTTTGATAATGAAGACGTCGTGTCACTGCCACACACAAACGGATGCTGGCAGGTTATTAAAAAATTCAGCTTCTTGATGAAAGACTATCCTGCAGGCTAGGAGCACAGTGAAAAGCCTCTCCATTCTGGTGGAATTATTAGAAATGAGAACATGACTGTAAGCACTAAATTATGGTAATACTTACAAATAGCATCATTTGCATAGCAGTTTAAGACAGCCACCCAGATTTTCCTCAGTGGCGTGGAGTAGGCAACAGATTAAAAATAATGGACTTGGTGAGTTTGAACTGTGTGGAAATCTATTCCAGCTAAAAATGAGCCTGATTTTAGATTCCTCAATGCAAATACAACGTTGGGGCAGGCCCAAATGCACGACAGGATTATGGATGGGTTTCACCTTGTTAACTTAATGCAGCCTCTGAGTTATCTGAACAATTAATTTGCAACTGCAGGAAGAGCTAAATTCATAAACTGCAAAATGTCTCCAAGTCCGTCAGCCCCCTCTGCACTGCTCAAGTCTGTCAGCAGAGGAATTTCATCCTGAGGCCCAGACTCCAATGGCTCAATATCCAGAGAGCTGCTCTACTTTTGGCACTTGTGGGGTTGTTTGTGGAGACATCTTCCAGTGTGGGAAAGAACATCAGGGCCCTAGCTGTGCACAAAAAAAAAAAAAAGAATAAATACAATTAATCTGATAAGGAGACTCAGTATCTTGTAGGGTGAATGATTGTAGGGAACAAATAAATTCATTTTTAACATCTGCAGGTCTTCTGTACTAATTCAAGCTTCAGTCACTCCATGCATAGCACAAAAAGTGGTTTTGCTGCTGTAAGAATAAGTGAATAATTTTTTGGAATATCTAGATGAAGATATCCATAATCCTTATTAATATATGGTATAGCTGGGCATCTCCTTCCTGCTCCAAGTCAGCAGCTCAGATTCTGGAACATCTCACCCAAACTTTTATGGACCCTTGCTGGGAGACTCTAAATTCATGGAAAATTCTCATTATTGCTGACACAACCTCTGGCTTAGGGGGATTCTGACTTCTTGGAGGCTGGGAGAGTATCCAAGCAATGGATATGCTCACTGTCTTCATATTTTCCTTTCTCTTAGGACTCAAACTCCCAAAACTCTTCTCTTTTAGGGCCAAGAGAACACCACCTTCCTGCTGGCATTTCCTTTTTTCTTCTTTTAACAACTCCCTTTATATAAATAACACAGGACTGCAGGATCCCATCCTCTTGTATAACTGTGGAATTGTAGTAAATCACTAGATTAAATTACTACTGAAATTAATTTTAGAATTATCTTTTATTACCCTGTGACTTAATTAACCACCAGGGCCAACAACATGATGTGAGTTTATCTAGCAGCAAGTCTGAAAATAACAAAGGATCAGGCTGGAGACAAAAAGAAAGGGATAAAGAAGAGCTGAAAATCCAGGGATAGAACAAGCCACAGAAAAACAAGCAACAAATACTCTCTGAATAAACCCTTAAAACTGGTGATAGCTACACCACCATTTCAAAGCCCTCCATCAAATATCTGTCATAGGGGAAAAAAAAAAAAAGGATTTAATGCACTTGTGCAGCCCCTGCTAGAAAAATGTTTGAGTTTTACTCCTCCAGTTGAGTCAGAGGATTTTGTCTCTGTTTCTTTTCCTTACAGGCAGTTAATTAATTAATTCAATTAATTTATTACAATGAGGAAATCAGAACCTTTTCAAAAGGTGACAAATCTGGACAACTTTTGGTCTGAGTCACCTAAAACAAGATTTGGATGCTGCTTGCAGGATTTTGCATTGATTGCTCTTGGGAAATGGGAATGCAAAATGCTGGATATTTCTTTAAATGAACCATTGTTTGGTCAGCTTTTAAAAGTCCTGTAGTAAGTAATAGATGAATTTTGGGATTAGCTGGCAGTCAGGAATAGTGGGGAGCAGATCGTGTCCTGCTTTGATGAATTCCATGTACTCAGATTTCCACATCTTATTTCTTTACTGAGTTCAGGAACTCGGAGCAGGATGTGTGTGCAAACAAATCAGGATAAAACCAATCCATCAAAAATGTAATTTCAGAAACCTGCCACTGCCAGCACACTCCTTTCTGACCCCCTTTGAACACAGCAGAGCTTCCTAACACTGCTTTTTTCCCGAGTTTTTATTAATTGATCTTAGTGTAACACCTAAAGCCCACGGAGGGGGTTCCTAAGGAAGGAGCCAGCTGTGCACGTGGAATTGCAGGTGTGGGATTTTTCCAGCCTGAAGAGGGCCAGAAACTCTGACAGATCCCCAGAAAATGCATTTCCAGCATTTTAACATTTCTTCTAACTGATATCATGTTTAACAGGGAAAGAAAAGGAGCCCAAAGACTTCAGGAAGAGATCAATGATGGAAGGGAGTAGTGCTGGATGTTTCTTAGTGTGAGCAGAGCAATTATTCCAAATAATGGAAATACTCATTG